AAGGAAATCCTACAAACCTGTTTAACCTGGGATTTGAATGTTATGTCCTGGTCAAAGATAACACCAAGGTTCCTTACTTTGTTCTTGGAGATTAATGTAATGCCATTCAGGTCAGGTGATTGACTAAGCAATTTCCTTTTCTGAATTTCAGGTCCAAAGATGAGAACTTCCGTCTTGTCTTGATTTAAAAGCAGAAGGTTTTGAGTCATCCAGTTTTTTATGTCTTCAAGACAAGCATGTAATCTACTTAACCGATCAGGTTCATCAGGGTTAATGGATAGATATAACTGAGTATCGTCAGCATAACAGTGGAAGTTAATCCCATGCTGTCTAATGATTTTACCAATTGGGAGCATATATATAGTAAAAAGAATTGGTCCAAGCACTGAACCCCATTGACTGGCATTGATTTTTTTGTTCTTCCAGGGATCTAAACAATATATCAGATATTGGTAAAAATGCCAATGTAGACCAACCCTGATTAAAATCTTCTAAATGTGCATTTTTGGCACATATTTTCTTGTAAATGTATACATTTAACAGTTTTGCTGAAGCCTGACAACAGAAAAAAATATTAATGTCAATCAAATCCAATCAGCCCTCCCAACATTTGACAGGAAAGTCACCTGTCTCCAAACCTTAACAGCATAAACAAAGATGCACAGCTAAACGCACATTCACACCTAACACAAATGTCTGTACAATGTGTCGAGTATACCGGAGTATACGGTAAAGACTGACACTATACACAGAAGGGATAGAGCTAACCACTGTTCTACCATGGCATCTCAAAAGTAGATACTCATTTTGAAACTCCACCAAAAGTAAGCCGCGTGAAAATGTGCCGCTCAAGCTACTTTAAATTATATAGAGGTCGTGAAAGCCAGATCCCAAGGAAAAATACATGAAAGTGATTGTAAAGTCTGAACCATTTTATAAACCTTTACACACGTATTAATTTCATATTATATGGGTGTTCTAACATTCTGATGTTCCTGCAGGATGTGCCCGGGGCTACAGCAGAATAGCTACCACTAGCTGCTGCTGCTGCTAGCTGCACTCACATTTTACTGTTAAATTCTATTTAAATAACCGTCTAATGAGAAATTTGTGGTGGTAAAGGCTTTTGAAAAGAGTTTGCATGAACTGAAGAAGAAACACTTTTATATAGCAACTCTCGAGAAAATAACTCACGAGGCACTTCACAAAAACAAAAAATAAATAAAGATTATAAATTGCCGTAATAAAAAATTGGGAAAAGGACAATTTTAGTATTAAAAATGTGAAGGAGAACAAATATGAATAAGAAACGGTAATACAGGATCTCAAGAAAGACCGAATTGGTAAAAACAGCAGCATGAAAATGAGGTAGCGAGGAATAATCAACAGAGTGTCACACCAAAGCCAGCCTCAACAGATGAGTTTTCAGCTGCTTTCTAAAGGAGAACGCTGAGTGTTGCTATGAATGTTTTGAGATTTGACTTGTTTTGAGACTGAACACATCTGTTATGGTCTTAGCCCTGTCGTGGCTTACTGTTGGCTCATCACCCCAATCAGAGCTGAGAACTGTGTCCAGATTCAGGAGCTGTTAACAATGATGTTGCAGCAATATGACGAAAGTTGTCCAAATTTGCAAGAACCTCCAACGGGGGATTATTTAGCCATGGTGCTGTAACTTCAGCCGTGGTGCAGCACCACACCTGAGCCTAGGGGAAACACTGGGATTGGTGTACCCTTCATACCCGGCCCTATCCCAAGAATTATCACCGACTGAAAGGGAGATTCCTCAATTAGTAACCATGGTGGACGCAGCAAGACTACGGTTTTAAGTTTAAGTTTATTCAAATGTGGGCCACAAAAATTAAAATCTTAAAGTTCTAATAATGTCAGGCACTGTTTTTTGGACAAAGACTGGTCAAATATTACTCATGAATAACCTTTCCACAAAAGCACAGGCTAGTATTTTTATTTATTTGTCTACAGCAAGAATAAATCTGAAAGTTAGACCTTCAAAATTTTACAGCCGCTCATTTTCGTTCTTCGCTACATTGACCGCATAGGCTAGATCCTTCGTAGGATGCAGCCTCTGAATTTGGACACAACCAACGTCATTCAAAGAGCTATCTACAACACATAACCTTTCCACCAAATCCTATTTGAAAAGATCAGAACTATTTGTTCCAGTTTCTGGCTACAGAATTAAAGTTGGAAATGATATAATTAGCTAAACATGTGAAGCAGCACCCCTAAACAGCACCTCAGCTATGAGAAAAGACATAGTACAGAACTGAAAAATTATTTCTGAGTGTTTTGTTGATTTTTGGTAAGCTGTTTGAAGATGTAGCAATAAAAAAATACAAGTTTGGACTTTGTGTGTTGTGAGAAAAAGAAAGAAAGGCAATGGAAAAGTCACTTTTATCAAATTGTTATAAATTTTGATTGTTTGGCACATATTCTTGGACATGACTTAACTCTTGTTATTCTTCTTCACAACACACACACACACACACACACACACACACACGCACACACACGCACGCACGCACACACACACACACACACACACACACACGCACGCACGCACACACAGGAGAACTAAGTAGCAACAAAGTCTGTAGCAGACAGCAGGGAGTGGTGGAAAACCATATACTTCAGCACAGGCGTCTGCTCTTCCAAGTGGGCTTATAAAACACACTTCTTTTTTATTTCGGGGGATTTTAAAGGCTTGTTTTATAGTGTCTACGAATTCTTTAAAAGCTGATTTCTTTACATTAGTTAAGTGAAAAGTCCCCCGTCATCTAAAAAATATTGTAAAGTGTTTCATTTTGTTATTACTGCCTACTGCCCAAAAGCAAAAGGTCAGGCGAAAGTGGTTTTGTTTGTTAGCTAGATACATTTCAAGCCTCTGGAGGCAGGCGTTGCAGATATGCAACGTTAAAACCTCCCTACCTGGTTACTCCACATACGTATTTCCTGAGCATTTTTTAACTCAGAAGTACCCTGAAGGACTTGGTCGTTTGTCCTTTTATCAAAACTTATTTTGAGCCTGAGGGGGTTAATGAAACATTTAGGGATTGGTCACTGGATGAACATCTAACGCTAACTACCTTTTGAATTAAATTACATGGCCACCACAGCCTACCAGCTGAAGGTGCAAAACGGCTCTGACTCAACCAACTTCATAGACATTGAGCTAATATTTGATGTTCCATGTGAGAGACCTCCCAACACAAACTCATAATGCTGACAGAATTGTCCTTATAACCCTTTTAACCATAGGACTGAATTCTGACAATAAACCAAACATCACATAGACACAATTTAATCAAACACCTGGAAAGTTTATAAAGATTCTGAGTCAGCCTGATTCAAGATGGCCACCACAGCTAACTGACCTTAAACACAATTGCTCTGGGATAAATAAGTCTTGTTCTCAGATACAGATACTAAACTGGGTGCACTAGAAGTCGAGAGTCATCCACATAATCCAGGTACTACACAATGCAAGACATCCATATATAAAGGTCTCATTCACTGGGAAACTGTGTCAAACTTGTTCCTTTTGAAATGCTTTTAGTATACTGAAACTGAAAATGTCTTCAACCCCTACACCCGTGTGGGAAACCATCAGTTCTGAAAATACCACTCTCTTCAGCATCACAGGGCACATTAGCACTCACCCAGTTTGAGTAGCAAAAAGCTGTGTTGATTTTGCAGTCAGGAGAGAGTAGAGCATTTATCGGCTAGTAGAAGCTAACTATTAGCAACTCCGCAACATGGCATAACATGTTAGAGAATGTGTTATTTGTGGAAATAAAACATCAATGTTGCATTTTTTGCCTAAGAAAGAAGAGCGAATGAAGGTAGTGAAATACTTTAATTGCTGTTAGTCAATCAGAGGTGAGTTTGTGTTTGAATCAAAATTCTGCTGCTTTCACCTTAGATAAACGTCTACCTCCTGAAACAGGGTGTACGGGGATTGAGACTTTAAAGTGTTTAGATGGAGTATTAGGATTAGTACCTTTATCATAAACCTGCCATTTACAAGTCTTCTGCCCTCTGGTGGAGGATCTACTCCAATCATATAATAAAAGGAAAATGAGTATCACAAAGATGTTTCATTTTCTCAACAAAAACCTTTACTTATCTATCTATCTATCTATCTATCTATCTATCTATCTATCTATCTATCTATCTATCTATCTATCTATCTATCTATCTATCTATCTATCTATCTATCTATCTATCTATCTATCTATCTATCTATCCATCCATCCATCCATCCATCCATCCATCCATCCATCTATCTATCTATCTATCTATCTATCTATCTATCTATCTATCTATCTATCTATCTATCTATCTATCTATCTATCTATCTATCTATCTATCTATCTATCTATCTATCTATCTATCTATCTATCTATCTATCTATCTATTATTGTTTCGTATTTCAGGGTTAAGGGTCTCTATAGTGAGGGTTGAGACCTGACGTACATTTTACATTCAGTAGAAATAGTTTAGCTGCACTTGACATCTTTTTGTCAATGATTTTGGAAGGAAGACCTGCTGGAAGGCTTCAGAGATGGTGACCTGTCCTTAAGGTGGGAACCACCAACATGTGTTTCACAGCAACATTTAAATCTGCCCTTTGCATACCCCCTTTTATCACTTTTATAACACTGCCAATTGGTGTGAAACTTTCTTCTCTTTCTCCTCCCAAAAACGTGTCTAAACTGTCAGCTGCCCTCCACCCCAGATGCCATATTTAGGATACAAATGTGAGGAGATGACAGCGTTGTAAAATGGAGCCCGTGCTGAGATTATAATTAACATTTCCAACCTACATCGCTCTCCCTCCCACTTCTCCTTTGCTCTCCCCTATTCACTCACTCCTGTACGATAAATGGGGAGGGGGGCATGAGGGGGGAGTGAATGCAAGAAGAAAGGAGAGAAGGGTAGAAAAAGAAAAGAAAGGGAGATGGAGGAGGAGAGTGTGTGTGAGAGAGAGAGAGAGAAAGAGAGAGAGGGTGACCAAACGGAGGGAGGGAGGGGGAAACGGCGTATGCTTGTATACAACCCTGATTTCCATTTTTTTCCCAACTCGTAATGTATTTAATTCAAGTGAAACGTAATCATGACGTGTCGTGTCATTAATCTCCTCGCCGCCTCTCCCGTAAGTACACTGAGTCTTTACTTTCAACATATATCCTATATCTTCATTTATCCGCTTATATTTGACCACTACTAAGCTCACACACACTTTTATGCGTGGTGACACGAATCAGCGGCGATGAAACATTTCCAAAAATGGTGAATTTTACGCGACTGTTGTTGCCTTTCTTCTTCTTCTTTGGAGGATAATGGCCAACAGAGTTGTTTTGTTACCTCTTCTTCTTCTTTAAACGTGCAGCTTTTTTGACTGAATGTGCGCGCGCGTGAGTGAGTGATTGGCATGCATGTGAGCGCGAGCTCCGGACACTTCGTGTGTGTGTGTCATCATGTATGTGCGCGCGTGGCCGACATGTATGTAACCTCTAATGACCGCGCACCTAAAAAAAATAAATAAATAAAAGCGCAGAAGTGCTTCTTTGAGATTTTGAGCGTTTAGAACACCAAGTCGATACGAAAAAGGAGGAAAAGTGTTCTAAAAGTCGCCCGGAGAGTTCAAACGTGCATTTATTTCGAATTTAAGTTACTTCTAACAAGTTGTCGGCGATTTATTTATATCCGCGCAGGACAGCGGGGGTGTTTTTAAGGATAAATGTGGCAGCTCTCAACGTACCTGGAGGAATAATAAAACAACTAAGCGACGTTTGAGTTTAAAAAGGAGAAAAGTCGCTTTTTTCCAAGTTGTCGGAGCGTAACAGCGGCTCTCTGTGAGCCGCAGACACGTTGTTCAGGCGTAAAAGTGGATTTCTGCGTGTTAGCAAGTTGATTTACGAAGGTAGACGCGATTAGCGCGAGTAATTCTTTTGTTGGACGCTGATTTGGGCAGTGTGTGTGTTGTGTGTGTCAGTATAGAGCTCCTCTACTACAGTGTTTACTACAGCTAGCTGTCCTAACATCACCTCCGAGCCTCCAGAAAGTGTCGGTGCAGCGTTAGGTCGCTGGATGACACAGCCTGCCCGGTAAAAGGCGCGTTTTTAAAGATATTCCCGAATAAAAGCAGATGAGGTGGTTTTGGGACGGATGTCGGTGGGAGATTGGCAAATGAAATCCATGATGGCACTTTTTTCCTCCTCTCTCCTCCTCCCGTCCTCTCCGCTCGCTCTTTCCCCTCCCTTAATCTTTTGTATAGAAAATTTAAGAACAAAATGGAGCAGGGGAGAGAGCGATAGAAGGGCTGACATGACACACACAAACACACACACTCTCTCACACACCTCCGACTTCTAAACTACACTGTTGATGCTCCTTTTTCCTCGCGTTTCCTCCTTTCTCCTCCCTGAGATCCGATCTGCGGGGCAGGGTTAATCTTATTTCAGCCGGGTTGTTTATCAGTGCATTGTTTGTTGATGGTTATTTATTTCATTAATGCGCCTCTAATTGAGATGGCCGCGAGAGGAGAGAAGGGGGAAAAGAGAGCGTGCTGAAAATGGTTGCACGTTATTGACGCACATCACAGGGGCGAGGAGGAAATTCCTCTTGAGATAAGGCGCAGACGTGTCATCTGGGCTGACCAAAGACACTCCCGTCGCCCTTTCTATATCCAATGGAATATGTTTAGAGATCCTGGAATGCCCTATTTTTTTTAAATCCCAGCCCAAAATGTCACACTCCTGAGAGCTGAGAGGAAGTAGGTTGCTGCTATCTGCTGTCCTATAACCAGCATCCTAAACTCTGACATTTGTGCTTTTAAAAATAGAAAAGCTTACAAGGATATATATATATATATATATATATATATATATATATATATATATATATATGGAAGCAATATTTGCAAAAAAATGATCAAAACATTTGCAAGGACATGGGTGTCATTGTAGGGGTTTTGATGATTTCTACCTCTTTACTGACACAAGGCAGAGCCTTATGTAAATGGCCTGTATTTGATATAGCGCCTTCTAGAGTCCTGGAACCCCCAAGGCGCTTTAAAACACAACCAGTCATTCACCCATTCACACACACATTCCCAGACATGAAAATGTGGTCTAATGACCAAACACGTCAAAAATAGAAATAACATTTGGATGACTGACCCCCGTTGTCACTACTGAAGCAATCATTTCACACACACACACACACACACACACACACACACACACACACACACACACACACACACACACACGCACTTTTGAAATCAAAATTACGTTTTTGCATAAGGTAATTCTTTAACCTCACAGAAGTCACAGGTGCACACTCTTGTGAGCTGCAGTGATCTTGAACAGGCTTGAAAATAATTTAGTAAAATATTTCTAGAAAATGTCTGATTCATCGTGGCAGTCTGGGTAAGCCTGTCTAGTTGGCATCTGAACACTGTTTCTAAGATTTAGTGTTCAGTTCTCTACACGATGACAAATAAATGGCTGTTTAGGTTCATCAGTTAACCTTAATAGATAAAACATATTAATCTAATGAAATTGCATCAATCATAAGTTGTACAAGTGTTTGTCAGTTTGGTCAAAGCAACCAGTGAGGGTGGTCTTGTGTTGCCCAGGGACGCAACAGCAGAAGGAGCTGGCATTGAACCGGTGACCTACTGATCTACCTCCAAAGTAGGGCTGCTCAATTATGGCAAAAATAATAATCACGATTATTGTGACTGAAATTGAGATCTTGATTATTTAAGATGATTTTTCAGTTTATGTTGATTTTATTTGTTTTTATTCAGTCATAAAATTGATCAGGGCACAATCAGGACAAAAATAAATAAGAAACAAGATGATCACTAAAAGAACTCCTGATTCCCAGTATAAAAAGACCAATATACTTACAGCTCATAGTCTATGACCCAAGGGCTATAGACCTTGGTTTAACTCATGTAAGTCTAACCAGTACAGACCCAAATACCAACATCTTGCAAATACTGACAGCAAGAATTATACAGTGGCATTTATAACAAATAAATTGATGTTCACAAAATGTTGCAAAATGTTGCATAATATGTATTTAGTCATGTCAATGTGCTGTAGGAGAGTACACTAGCACCGTGTCCTCAGAGATTAGTTATTTATCAGCGTGAGGAAGTTATTTCTACCTTATTTATAAACTATTTATTTACAAGTCCATCAGTTAATGTAATAATTGTCCCAACCACAGCTGCACCCCCCACCCCCCAACCCGGTCTCACAGCAATCAAGTGCAAGCTGTACGTGTGTTTAGCGCGCCGCACATTTAGGCGTTTTTAGTGGCTCAGGAGCCCGCAGGTACGGTGTGTGTCACTCACTAATCCAACAGGAAGCCGGCTCTGAGAGCAGTTTCTTTAGCGACTGACACATCACTACATCATTCCCTTTCCTAATGTCCTGAAGGACGGTCCGGAGCGCAGGCGGAGTTTTTAGCTAACCTGCAGGAAATGTCGACGACAGTTATCCAGAAAGTAGCTAAGGGTTACCAGAGATGTTTCTGAGATGTTCGCTAGGTACTTTTAAGATTTAAAAAGTCAAGAAGGGGGTCTGAAAAGCTGTTAGAAACAGCTTCAAAGTCGCCAAGTTGGCAACACTGTGGGAGGAGCGCTTCATTTGCAACTCAGGGCAGCTCAAGTGGGAGGAGCAAATAATTGGCTTGTTTTGTTTTTTTAATCGTTCAAAACTCAGATCATAATTGGGATTAAAAATTGATGAATTGAACAGCCCTACTCCAAAGTTTCACTTTTTCAGATTTCTTGCATTTTCAACTCAACGAACCCTAACGAACCCTAACGAACCCTGAAGTTTAGCGTCTCAGAGGGAAGCTTGAGTCACTGTGACCAAAAGTTTCATGACTGTTGCTATTTCTTTACATTGTCAAACAAAAGTAATCAGACATGTTTTTTATACTTTTAGAAACCATTTTTTTGTGTTTGTTGCATTTTTTCTCTTCATGTAACAATAAGTAATAGAACCCTTTAACTTGAGTAAACGTATATTAAACACCACCTGAAAGGACTTGGACAGACACAACAGGAGCTGCGTTTTCACTTTAAAATCACCATGCAGGTGGACTGCAATCAGCACTTCACTTTTCCTTTTTCAGCTCAATATAAACAATCTTGTCCAATAATCGATGCTTAATACTTTAGCAAAACCAGATCATTTAACCAACCATACTGACCCTTTGATTTGTGATGTCACACCTCTCATGGGACCGCCCCCTTAGCCACTACGGCAGAAAGACACGTTTAAACTCTACTGAAGTGACATTTTATAGCTTTTATTTGATTGATTTCATGTTAAAATAAAACACAGTGACAAAAATCCAGACTTTTTAAAGTTTTTTTTAAAATCAACTCCAAGTTCAAGTGAAAAGTTGTTAATCGTAAAGTTATAAAACCAAGTAGTGTGAATTTTGACTAAGTCAGCAACTTGTTCACACCAATGAAGAGGACTGGGAGAACGTAAGCTAATGTTTGTAAGCTAGCTAACACTTAACCTTTGTAAATAGCGCTCTACGAGCCCACCTAGGTGTATTAAATCTTCCCACAAGTGAACTGGGCTCGAACCAGTAACTAAACCTCACTCACCACTTTTCTTCTCCATTCAATACTCCCACAAGTCACTGTTGCCCTTCCTAGGCCTGCTACTTCTTTCGATAACTGAACTTGGCTTGAACTAGTTGAAGCTGTGCTAAACATCACAAACAACAAAAACAATCTCAGGCGCTGCTTTTCCCTTTGATGAATGCTCGTGTCGCTCACTATTTACTGTGCTTTTGCCGTCCGACATGGACCCACATGATCAGGTGACGCAGGTGCAAATGGTCAATATAAAAAGTTCCTAAGTGCCACATCAGTGGGATTTCAAGTACAGATTTACATATTTTCTCACAGTTTTATGTGTCCAACATATCACCAGCAGCTGAGTGTGATATTGTTGTAAAAAACCTGACACAAGCACAGGGGCGATGTTAGGCCCGGCTACTTGGGCTCAAGTCCCGAATGTTTTATGAAAAGCCCCGGATCTAAAACGTGGAAATAACATGCAGTACCAAAGTCCAACAGAGAGGGAGCAGCTGGCAGTAGTTTGTAGA